TAATCTGAGAGGTTTTTTTCCTTGGGGGATTTGCTGACGCAGGACTTGTGTGGATTCTCTGATGTCTAGTAAGGTGTGAGGAGTTCCTGAAGCCTTTCCCACAGTCCAGGCATTTATACGGTCTCTCTCCTGTGTGGATTCTCTCATGGACAATAAGGGCTGATTGGTCAGTGAAACCTTTCCCACAGTCAAGGCACTTAAATGGTCTCTCTCCCGTGTGGGTTCTCTCATGGACAGTAAGGACTGATTGGACAGTGAAACCTTTCCCACACTCATTGCATTTATATGGCCTCTCTCCTGTGTGCACTCTCTGATGGACAATAAAGTATGAATACTGACGGAAGCTCTTCCCACACTCAAGGCATTTATATGGTCTCTCTCCCGTGTGGGTTCTCTCATGGACTGTCAGGGCTGATTGTACAGTGAAACCTTTCCCACACTCTTTGCATTTATATGGTCTCTCGCCCGTGTGGATTCTCTCATGGGCAATAAGGGCTGATTGGCCAGTGAAATCTTTCCCACATTCCTGGCATTTATATGGCCTCTCTCCCGTGTGGGTTCTCTCATGGACAGTAAGGGCTGATCGTACAGTGAAACCTTTCCCACACTCATGGCATTTATATGGCCTCACTCCTGTGTGGATCCTCTGATGAGCATTAAGGTTTGACCTCTGACTCAAGCTTTTCCCACATTCCAAGCATCTATATGGCCGCTCTCCACTGTGGGTTTTCTGGTGTCTACTAAGGTTTGATCTCAAAGTGAAGCTTTTCCCACACTCAAAGCATTTATGGGATTTCTCTCTCATGTGGATAGTCTCATGTTCAATATGGGATGACAGCTCGTTCAAACTTTTTCCACACTCTAGGCACTTGCAGAATCTCTCTCCCGTGTGCCCTCTCTGAGGCAGAATAGGGCCTGACTTCTCATTGAATCTTTTCCCACAGTCTGAGCATTCAAAGGGTTTCTTTCCATTGTGATTTGGCTGCTGGCCTGGAGTTTCCTTGGATCGTCCCCCAAATTCAAGGGATTCCTCCACTCTCTTGCTTGGGCTGTTCTCCAGCTGCCTCTCTGCCCTGTGTTGCTTTCTCCAAGCCTCTCCCTGTTCCATACACTGGGAAAAATCATCTTCAGCTCCTTTGAAAAATGTTCCCTGTGGTTTTACAGTTCCAGGGTCTTCCTGCTGTTGATTTGCCTTGTTGTTCCCCCTCACTGTCCTCGCACCTGCTGGGAGACCCCCCTCACTGTCCTAGCACCTGCTGGGAGACAGGGAGAATCCAAGCAGGAGTCACTGTCTGTGCTGGGGAGAAAGGACTGACAAGGGAATGGCAAAGGCAGAAAGCACAACAAAATAATAGTTGTGGAGACTGAGACATTGGATTCCGCATCCAGACCCGACCCAAACACTCCCAGTCTAGACTGGCAAGTTTTTCCACAAAAGTAACCACTTTTGCGGAAAAACTTGCCAGCTGTCTACATTGGCCGCTTGAATTTGCGCAAGAACACTGACGATCTAACCTAAGATTGTCAGTGTTCTTGCGCAAATACTATGCGTCTCCCGCTCGGGGAAAAGCCCTTTTACACAAATGCTTTTGGACAAGAGGGCCAGTGTAGCCAGCTAAAAACTGTTTTGCGCAAAAAAGCCCCGATGGCGAAAATGGTGATCGGGGCTTTCTTGCACAAAACTGTGTCTAGATTGACACGGACGCTTTTCCGCAAAATTGCTTTTGCTAAAAAGCGTCCGTGCCTATCTAGACGCTCTTTTCCACAAATGCTTTTAATGGAAAAACTTTTCCATTAAAAGCATTTGCGGAAAATCGGGCCAGTCTAGACGTAGCCCCAGGGAAAGAAACATAGGGAGCAAACTCCTGACAGCTGAGATGATGGCTGAGGAGTTGTGACAGGTAGTTGCCAGAATGACACCTGCAGCCCTACTTGGGGGACATGGGGCAGAAGTGAGGGCTGTCATTGATGGCTCATTTTTGGGAGTCCCAGATTTTTTCCTGCAATCGCTGGAAGGTTTCTGTGTCAGTTTTTTCTGACTCCTCACCTGTGCGAGTGCCTCTCAGGAGCTCCATTTCTTTGGAGGGCTGGAAATCTGGCACCCACGGCTCTTCCCCTCGTTCCAGCCGGGCGATCAGGTCAGGTTTGGGAATGGGGAATCCTGTGCAAGGGGGAAATCAGACAAGGTGAAGGCTCATTGAGTCTTGGCAGAGTATGTGTCACATGGCACATTCCCTGAGGTCACGCTGATCTGACATGGGACTGCGGTAACTCAGACATTTTGACAGCAGCAGACCTCTGGGCAGGAATGGGGTGGGAGATGTGATAAAATGGGGATTGTATTCACTCTGTTCCCTTTGTTATGTTGCATGCGATTTCTACTGCCCTGTAGTAATCCCATGTGTGTGCCTCAACTTCCCTGGGCCCTGCACCACTATCTAGATGGGGATGGGAATTTGGGGGTGACCCAATGAGGAACGATGCCCAGGCCAGTATTTTCACAATGGCCCAGGCTCATGGTAACCTGAGCGTAGGAGGGGTGTCTGAGCAGGTGACACCTTTTGCCTCTGAAGCAGGACAAAGGTTTGTGATGAGTCTGCTACAGCCAGGGACAAACTGTGGAAGGTGGAAGTGAGAATTGCTGGCTTGAAGGGCAGAGATGGGGGGCAGGGCCCTTG